CACTGAGACTGACTGAAGAGGCGAGAATTAAGACGGTCTAAAAATGCCATTGGCTGCAGAGATCCCAGATCAGTGAGACATGCCAGCTCTCCTCTTCCAGCAGACGCCTCGCATACAGTTATAACCACTCTTCATATTGCTGCTTCATTCGTCATACGGGATGACATTAAGGCCAAAGGTTACACCTCAAGGCTAATTACTGAGCAGGTTATATATACACTGGTCTGAGAGAGTGTGTGTGTGTGTGTGTACCAATGTCTGGCTGTGACAGTGACACTCCTGTTACAAAACCACATGAACATTTGTTTTGGAAAGCCAGAGCAGAGGTATAGCGCTCCTCTGCTTTATTTTTAGGGAACGTTAATGTGTACTGAACGCAGGCTCGCAGTGCACCCACACCATGCCTTTCAAACACACAAGAGAGCTCACGTTGCCGACACACCCACGCATTCACATTCCCACCTGCCCCCCCCCCTTCACACACACATACACACACACACACACACACACACACACACACCACACACACACACACACACACACACACACACACACACACACACACACCCCCACACACCACACACACACACACCACACACACACACACACACAATCTCTCATCAGATCAGTGACCAACACATAAACACAAGCGGGCCGGGTATAACTGAGCTTTGGGAGAGAAACTAGCAGATACAAACTGCATGCAAAATGTGTGTGTGTTTCAATGGCTAAACAGGAAAGACAGAATCAATCAGAGGCATCGACAGCAGCCAGAGGGCGAGTCCTGCCTGCAGTCTGTCTGAATCACATACCGTCTCTGCAGCTCTGCCGGTGGGTGTGAATTCTAAAAAACATGCATGTTTATGGATGGGTTCGTCTGCAGGAGTTGCAAAGTGTTTCAGTTGCATGCTCAGCCCGGGCAGATCCTCACATCTCCAGCCAGATGTTTTGGCTGCAGAGCGGGAAGCCATCGTGGCAGTGGAAGAGACTTTGATTAATGTGATGTGACTCACACTGATAACACCAGAGCCCCAGAGCAGACACAGTCAGAGGAAACTGTCAAGATGGTGTTGATACCGCTGCTGTGCTGGTGTTTGGCAAAACCTTTAGGAAATGTTAAGTAGTAGCTTGTTATTTTCTGTGCAGGGGCTTGTTGAGCTGATTATCTCCGTCAATAGCAGAGTTTGAATGGTAAAGCTATACATTATTAATGAGTGTGTAATCAAACACAGCATCTGTAGTTTCAGAAAAGAAGATTATCAAATAAACTGGCTTATCCCTCCAGGCTTAACCAGTTCGACAATAAATCTGACGGACTCAAACACTGTTTTGGATGTTCTTCAAAGCTCCTCCCGAGGAAACCTTCGTATATTATATGTATTCCTTTATTTGACACATAAAGCTATTAAGAAATAGAGGAGACATGAGTGTGTACTAACTGTGGGGGAAACTTCTGCAATGGAGAGTCAGGACTCAGAGAGACACGAGGAGAGCTGGAGCTTTGATGGCAAACACTGATGGTTTATTACGAGCTTCGGCCGGAGAATTCACACGACGTGTCACGGGCCACGATCTGACCACACGGTTGAGATGCCACAATCAATTCTGAGGAACTCTTCTGTAGCTCCAGGTTTTAAGTTCGGAGTGTAATAATCAACATTCTTTATCAGCGAGACTAAACAAATACAGACCCTGAATCGAACTAGAGCTCTCGTGCATAGAAAATATTGTGCGCCAACAAGAAGGGCTTCTAGATGTCCCTGAACAATAAACTATCTGGCTTGTGCTCGGTCATAAGCTGGCAACAATGCGCCCAAGCTGCCCCTCCTTAAGAGAGATACTGTAGCAGCAATACCCAAGGCCGTAGAACTATGCCATGGGAAACTGTGTTGAAGGTTGAATACCTAAGCAAATGATTCCCCAACACTAACTTTAATGGCAATCTATCAGATACTAGAATTGTACTACTATTGATGAGCTCAAGGAAAAGTCAGGGAGTCACCAAATTATCTGTGATGTATCCACTTGGGACAATGAGCAGTTTTATGGCTAAAAAAAGGCATCATTGTTGAAATATTTTTACCAGATGGACCAACCAAGCATCAACCAACAAACATTGCCATTGCTACGTCACAACCAATATGAAGAGGCTGTTACGGCACAACAAAACCACACTAGACTTCTTCATTTCTTTACCACGTTTTATTACCTGTCTGAGGCCAGGTGAGTCATTGCTTACCCTTCTTGATTTCATCTGAGTTTAAGGATGGTTTAATTAATATTACTCCGCAATTAATTGAGCAATAAACCTGCATGTCATCGTTTGTAATGCCGATCAAAGAGACAATGGTAAGGAGGATGTTTTAGCCACAATAACATCATTATAATTCATGCATGTCCAAATAATAATATGTCTTGTTTGGATCCAAACATCAGGGTGTGATGTGTTGTGCTTCTGCAGGCACACGATGTCCTATGTTGCATGGTTTGGCACGCAAACGCACACAATCACCACGTCTTTGTTGTATGCCATCATCAAACATCAGCTCAATACATCTCTTTGCAGCTTCCAGAGGTAGCAGAACAGCTTCCTGTGTGGCAAAAGACCTGACTAAATGATTTAGGAGCTGAGGTTGCTGATCGTAATTGCTCTCTTAGTGACGTCCGGGGATCAGAACCACAAGCTAGACGATGTAGGACATGCTTTTATACCGTTGGCCACAGGCTCTGGTGTACTATGCAAGGCTGTGGTCGTGTGGATCGGTCGAGATCGGACGCACTCAACCGCAGTGCTACATCTAGCTCCTTTTCACACACCCACTTCCCCTCAGATAAAGGCCGCTGCAGCAGCCATGTGTATTGCATTTAGACCATTCCTGAGGGTATCCTGTTCTTATCAGGGGTCAGATAAGCTCATTTCACAGGCCCTCACCTCAACTGGGCTACCAACACAAGACACCTTTTCTCAATGTTTGTGGTTGAATGTGAGGTCAAGAAGGAAGCTAACTCGATGACCAAAATCTTTCTCAGAGATACAAAATAGTAGCAAAATCAAACCGTCTGTGAAACTGAAAAAGACGACCTTGACATTCCTGATGGGGAGTATTCAGACTCCAGACAATCCAGCGTCGAGGTAAAAAGTGTCTTCAGAGCAGAGGAAAGTGGTGTCTGTAAGCTGAGTTCATTTGTACGTCATTGGAAAGTAAAAGCATCTCAACACCCTTGTTCCCGCGGTTGTTTTTGTGAGCCTACCATTAGGCTTAGAGCGAGTTCTTTGAGCTAATTGTCTTGAACTTGGGAGGCCAGATGAGGGAGAAAGCGCCAAATCTGTTTGGGAGACTCACCTTGAGCTTACCAGTCTGAGGGCCTCTCTTTTTCTACTTGAAGCCGCCTGAGGACCCCCTCCCCGTCCACCACACCCCGTCCCGGCCCTGAAGGCATCTCAGGCTGACAGCTCTTGAGCCAGATACTGGCAGTACAACAGAGCAGTCATAATTGGCCCCTATTCATTTCTCAGGGATAATCCTCGCATAGGTTGAGCCTTTTCTGTTCCTTGCATTATTTTTGCGCTGATGTTTACACAAGGTATGTATTGGTTCCTCCTCCTGAGGCTTTCGCTCCGGCAGCGCGGTCGTGTGTGTTTTAACGTGAGGCTTCTGCTCTTCCAGCGGGGCTGAAGACCTGAAGTGACAAAGACCTCGTGAATGTCTGACTCACAGACAACTGTCAGCATTCAATGGGCTGGATTAAGTCCGAGCGTAGACCCGAGCGCACCCTGACATGTTGACATGTTTTACTAAGTGCATTTCAAGGTGGATTTAACCCGTTTGCTCCATTGTGGAGGGACAGAAGAGACACAATTGCTTAATGGGACTGGGTATTCTTGAGATGGCGGGTGAACTTTACTCCCACTGTCTGGGATGGAGTGACACCGGCTTCTCTCTCAGGGTGAGTGAGGCTGCTGTGGATCCTGAGGAGGTTCAGGGGTTTCAGAGAGCTCTGTCCTTAACCAAACAAACACAGTGGAATTTCTGCCATTGTTGGTGCAGAGGGTTGATTGACAGGCTGCATAGCAGAGCCGCCTGTCAGCAGAGACGAGTCCGGGTCAAAGTGTGACCACCCCTTGTGACACTGCCTAATATGAGACTGAGCATATTGTAACATAAACCTGTATAGATGCATATTTACATTGACACCGTTTGTTTCTTGGATGCACTATAATTCTGTTAAAAATATAGAATCTTGATAAAAACCTTTTATACTTTCCAGTCCAACTAAAACAAAGTTTAACTTGTTTCAGATGATCCTAATCCAAAATATGTACAATGCAAATTAAATCAAGAATTTCATTGTAAGGAATCAAGTCTTAGTTTCTACGGAAGATATATATATTTATTTCTTGGGGAAATACTTTTTCTTCAGCTGAGATAGAGGAAAGGTTGACAGCCTAACTGTTGCTAGCTTTAATTTCATATTGACCATAAAAACGTGAGTGTAATATTGTAGCACTCAAAGGGCCTCGTTCAAACTGATTTGCCAGAGCTAACATTGATAAAAGTGTGAGCTAAATTAGATTTTATTTATGTTAATCTTCGAAAAAACGATTCCTTTAAGTACATTTTTAATCTTAGCATAGTTTAGGAACTGAAAACAGCACATTGACAAATTATTTTACACACACAGGTGCTGTATGTCTATGTGTAAATGTACACATTAATGCGCATAAACACAATACAGATGCACGTCATTAAAATAAAACACTCAATCAGTGGACATCATTACTTTAATAGACACTCTGCATTCCAAAGTCATATTATTTTACATATACACGATGCATACCCAAAGCTTTAATGGGAAATTACACATCTCTATTTACACCTAGTTAAATTGGCGGTCATGTGACATCAGGCCTGCACTCCCCAGGTTTGGGTTTTAGTGCAGGCCATCATTAGCTGGCCGCCCTGAAAGTTGAACCCTGAAAGTTGAACCCTGACCCCGCCCCCCCCCCCCCCCCGCTCATATCTCGGACCTGGAGTGACTACAATGACAAATATCATTCAAAGAAGACAATATCATAAATACAACTGGTTCATTTTGGGAAAAACTGAAACGTTGACTTTAATTAAATGAATGATGTCTTCCAAATGTCACATAACTGTATTAGGTTAGTTGAAAGCAATAATATTAAGTTGACTAATATTATTAATTGAAACGTAATATCATTGCTTCCAACTAACCTAATACAGTTATGTGAAGTCTGTTGACATAATACATTTAATTAAAGTCAACGGTTTTCAGTTTACTGTGCGTCGAGCTGTGAGAAAACACAGAGGGGAAGTGGAGGGTAAAAAGCAAACAGACATTACAGTTACTCCGATGGCCTCGATCACTTCCCTCGTGTTGCCTGTGCCCACCCCAGGGTCTCTGAAGTGGCTCGTTAAGCACGGGAACACAGACTCAATTACCCTGGGCAAACACGCTGCTACCGCTCCGTCTTGTGTTGGTTGGCTCCGTCCTTCCCATAGCCACCACCCCCCCTCCACCTCCACTCCGAGTGATAGAGTCAAGCTGTTCCTGCTGAGCGGAGGTCAGGGTCCTTCAGTCAGCACCTCGGCCCTGAACAGAGCACACAGGAATCCCCCCAAAACCTCTCCTCCCTCCCCAGCTCTCTCTCCTCTGGCCCAAATAAACCTGGTACCTCTCCCTCTCTCCTGTTCCTCCTCTCTCCATCTCCTGGCACACTGTCACTCCCCTCATCGAAATCATTAATCAGACCGGGCAGATTAGACTTCAAATACAAATAAACGACGCCCCTCGGCGGCCTCCTCGATTTCTGCAGCAACCCACGTTATTGACAGCCCTCCCCCTCCTCCTCATTCTACTTAATAAACCCAAGATGTCATGCATATCCATCAGGTTCAACATTTGTGCAAACTGTGGGGGCCTATTACTGCTTTATTGATATAAACAACTCGCCTTATCTACAAGGGTGATGACTCTTTAGGCCCAACCTGCCATCCATGTAAATACACAACAGATAGCCCTTATCAGTTTGGCACCAATAAAGCCAGAGTGCTTTTCTCAAGGGATTAAAGGGATTAAATGTGCAACCTGAATGTATTCAGGTGTAAGGTTTATCCAGTTTCTACTTTACACTGTCTTCTATTCCTGGTTGAGAGAAAAAGGCGGGATTGGAGGGCAATAGTGCCACCTTTGGGTGAGTCTGGGTACAGAGCTCTGTTATCAACAGGTAGAGTTCACGCAGCTTTTGACAGCTCGTGTGTGGAGTCCCACTCTATTATGTTGTGTATAGGGATGGTTAAGGGCACTAGAGGAAAAGGAAGGAGTCTCAAGCCGTGGCTCCCTGACCAGGTCTGGGGCGTCTGAGTGACAGGCGGCCCAGCGACTGTTTGTGTGTGTCCATGGGAAATGGGGCGAGGTTGCTGCGGCCCTGGGGCCATCCATCAGTGTCATGTGGGGGTGGGGTTGCGGGGGTGTATGGTATGTGTCACCTCCAAGACTAATGGACAGGAAGTACAGCCGGAGAAACAACAATATTTGCAGAATATATATTCAGAAGAACACGTTAAGAGTTCGGTTCTCGTGCGAGTTCAGCACGGCTTTAATCCTGATTGATGAGACTGTTTATTTTAAAGACACGGCTCTCACTAACCTGATCTATAACCCTCAGTAACACTTGTACCATGGGATAATCATGGTGTTCACATGATGTGTTGGTGACACTAACCTGTGTTATGATCTGGCCTATGAGGAGACGCTGTTTCAGAGAGAGGAATGTGAACCATTCAAAAAGGAGGAAGAGGAAGAGGAGGAGGAGGAGGAGGCTAACAGAGGACCCTGTGAGCTCTTACTGTTCAGAAGCCGAGGAGCTTAACCTCAGCAGCCCGATACCGTGGCGTCCAGACCGGACCGCTTGGTGATGTTGATCTTGGTCAGCTCCTCGGCGCAGGTCGGGTGGATGCCGACCGTCTGCAGCAGGTGGGAATATGTCGCTCCACACCTGACACACACACACACACACACACACACACACACACACACACACACACACACACACACACACACACACACACACACACACACACACACACACACACAACACACACACACACACACACACACACACACACACACACACACACACACACACACACACACACACACACACACACACACACACACACACACACACACACACACACACAACACACACACACACACACACACACACACACACACACACACACACACACACACAATGTTGACAATATCTGTTTTCTTTACTGCACATATTTTATTTTTTATTTTACTATATGTTTTCTCATTTTGTTGTTGCTACTATAGTGTTCTTAAAATAGTTCTCTATCTGTGGTTTTTAATTATTGTTTTACTGTTATGTATGCACCATGACACCAAGTCAAATTAAATTGGTAATAAACCTGTTTCTGATCCTTATTGTAAAAAGTCTCATTGTTGTATTTTACAGACCAACAAAGGGCGTGTTCGCTACAGCTGACACACAGGGGACCGGTTCGTGTGGCTGTTAGCAAATGTAAAGACGGTTTCTGTGACATGTTGAATAGTTGCATCAAAGCAGTTCATGTTTAATGAGCACTTCTTGTTATCAGGTGTAATTCATTTTAGTAGTTCACAGATAAGAATGCCAGAAAAGAGTGTGTTGGCTAAAACTGGTCCACAGTACTTTTTTAAAGGCTACTGGGAGTGATACTTATTCAGGCAATGTATTACAACTTTAAAAGTATTTTATATTATGAGAAAAATGCTTGATAAAAGTCTACTTTATCTGCTCTCTCAGTGATGCACTTTACTCATTTACTCTATTCATCCCATTATACAGCAACATTTTACCATCTAATACTTAAATAACAGTAACTTACATTTTTCATTGGTGTCTTACATTTGAAATGTCTGATTTGTTGTAGGAATTAAACTGAAATGTATCTTTTACTGAAAGCACGAGTGTTGACAGAGAAGAAATCATCCAAAACCTACAGTATATAAATATTCCATTCTGGACATCTTGCTGACTCAACACCATCATTACTTGGAGGGCTGTTCCATCGAGTCTTAAATGGATAAAACATGTCAAATCTAGGATGAGTTAAACTTACTGGAGGCCCAAAGCGAAGCCCTGTGTGACCTCTCCTGCGTTCGGACCGGTGAAGTGCAGACCCAGGATCTTCTGGTCTCCCCCCAGCTCACACACCACCTGAGGAGGAAAAACACTGAGTTAAAACAAGGAGCTGAAGTTTCATCTGCAAAATAACCAACGAGCAGGGACAGTAGGCGCTTTCACACCAAGTTCCCAGTACTAAAGAGTTCTGATGAACTGAAGAGCAGATCGCGTTCACACCGGAATAAGTTCCCTGAGGGAGGATTAGTCAAATAGAGAGGCGCAGTCCCTCCCTTTCCGGGGGAGCTCCATGGGACCTTATTTCGGAAAAAGTATGTATTGAAGTCAATGGGGAGAGAAAGATTATCCTTCGATCCCGTTTGAATTGTGCCACGAATTACACATATGATGTTCGTCAATTTAAAAGATAATTTTGCAAGTCAAAAAAATAAAAATGTGTCGTAAAACTGTGAAGTAACACTTTCTTTTGTGTGAGACGCTCAATGAACTACATCTCTGGTCTCACACCACACACCAAGACGGCCGTCACGTTGAAACATCTCACTTCTTTCTTTCAGATTGAGGCGAAAAGTATTAAACGAGGTGAAAATCACTACAAGTCTGGGCGCGTTGAGAGCTGTACACACACACAAGGGGAGTGAGTCGGTTCCTAAGAGCCAGCATGCGGGACCGGGATTCTGGGATTTGTAGTCTTTCTAGTTGCGTATTTTTCATAGTCTTATATTTCAACAGTTTTAAGACAAACTGTGACTTTTTTGACGTGGAAATTATTATTTAAGATTGACAAACATCATCTGTGTAATTCGTGGCACAATTCAAACGGGATCGAAGGATAATCTTTCTCTCTCCATTGACTTCAATACATCATTTTTCTGAAATAAGGTCCCATGGAGCGGAAGTAGATGGGCGGGACTTCGCCTCTCTATTAGACAAATGAAGCCGCTGACGTCACTTCTTCTTCTGCTGCTGCTGCTTTGGGTTTACTGGCAGGCCGCAAACCACTTCACGGCGTATACTGCCACCCGAAATCCCCGGCCTTTAGTCCCCGGAGTTGGGGACTGGCTTCAGTAGAAGCTGCTGGGAGTCCCAGCAGCTTCTACTGAAGCCTTCCGAGTAAATCGCCAGAACGCCGACACCTCCTCATCTCCACCGCTCCCATGTTTTCTTTTGTGTTGCCATAAGTTAGTCTTTCTCCGTTGGTGCGCTGGGCTAATGCTAATGCTAATAATGCTAATGCCAGCAAATACAATGGCGGCCGAGGTTTACGGGAACGTGGTTTGCAATCCGCCCAGCCAATCAGAAATGGGAACCCTTTTCTCCCATGAAAGTACCTGCTCTCTAGCTGAAAAGGTTCTCATGAACTAAGTTCTAGTTCCGGATTTTTTTGATGTGAACGCAACATTTCAAGAACTATCGGGACTATACTGGGAAAAGTACTCCGGTGTGAAAGTGCCAGTAAATCCCAGAGCTGCCTAAAGGTTATGTTTTTTTTTATAACGCACATTTCAGACGCAAAGGCAATTCAAAGAGCTTTACATGAGCATTAACACACAAACAAATGACAACTAGACAATCCATTAAACAGAGAAAACATAGTTAAAAATCAACATTTAAAAACAGTAGATACTACCAGAAGTGCAGAGTGTGACAAAGTGTAAAAATGACCCCATGAAAAGCAGAGATAAGCTGAAATGTTTTTAGCCTCAAACGAAGAAAGAAATCCTCAAGGTTGGACACCGATGGACGAATAAAAAAATGGTCAGGATCACGTTCAACCTTTCAAACTATTTGACTAATTGAGTTGTTCAAACCTGACTGCAGGAGTATATTATTTATATAGTGTATACATGGGCGTAATTTCCACTGGGGACATGTCCCCCCCGCTTTTCAAAATCCCGTTTGTGTCCCCCCCACTTTTCAAATGTGTTTATTATTAGATTAGAAGCCGTTTCAACAATAAGGAGAGGTAGAGTCCTCTCCTGTCGGACTGAGAGCCTGAGATAACGTCAGTTTAGGTGAGGTAAAGGACTGAGTGATTTAACTTCAATTTAAAGAAATAAATCTTCCCGGGGGTGCATGCCCCCGGACCCCCCTCGAGGATGTGAAGTCCACCCACAAATAAAACAGGTTCACATGGAAAGGATACTAGATAAGTTTGCACACTCATTAATACACTACACATTTGTCTTGGATTTTTTAACGCTATAGTCCCTAATATATTTATAGAAAGGCAGGAAATGGAATTAAATCGAGAAAATGTTTCATTGCGGAGGACCCCCTGTTTTGTGTCCCCCCCACTTCTCAAACCAAAGTTACACCCTTGAGTGTATACAATGCGTAAAATCCCCATCCCTGTACAGTTTAGTGTGCAGTTTAACTGGACCTTTAAGTAACACTGGCTGGCATCGCGCTCTGCAACAGAGAACTCCAGAGGCTTGTAGAAAGCATGGTAGACCTGCAGACAGAAAAACAGAACAAACATCATATTAACAGTAGAAATAGTATAGATTGTGTAATTGTGGTCTTTACATCTCCAACCAAAACACAACCAATTTAGGAACCACTTAATAGCTTATCGTGTCTTATATAGATCAAGTCCTTGGGCAAGACACTTTACCCGCATTTGCTCCTGTGGGGAATGTCCGCAGTAATGACTCTTACATGTCTAATATGTGTAATGTGTACTTGTAAAGCGCTTTGAGCACCTGTAAAAGCGCTCTAATAAAAAATGTAATGCATTATTATTATTATTAAGTATTACATACATCTAAGATTAGGTAGTAGTTTTGGCCATCTAGAAAAAGTCCTAGGCTCCTCCAAACAATGTAACATACCAGTTTCTAAGGACAAACGTAAACTGCGCAAGAGAAATAGAAATAAGATATTGCCAAAGAATGAAATAAGTAATAAGTAAAATGCAGAAATAAGTCTACATACATTTTAAATAGAGGAACAGATCAAAACAGAATATGGAATGGAATGCTGTACAGTGGAATAAAATACTGCATATTGTTATAACATTAAAATATCTCCACTGTAAACAGATGTATGTGTTCTTAATATGAGGGAATCATCAGTGCATTGTATTTCTGAAGAACTCTCTCTCTCACACTGCAGTTGAAAGGCCTTATGAACACTTATACGATAATACTTGAATGGTCAGATGGTCAGGATCTTTAACATAACAGCACGATCACTGAGAGAAAACATTTCCAAAGACCCTTTAGCGTGCATTTGATTCAGCTCTGTCTTATGAACACGTATCCAAACCACTGTATCAGAATGAGAGCATCAATGCTTGCTGGTGACGGTGATTGATTCCTAACCCCTCGCTGAAGACGAGTGTATGAGGTGTGTGTTTTATTCTGTGTGAGGTGTGTTTAATTCTCCGCGTGGACGTGCCGACACAAGTTGCGAGGGCCGTGCAGCTGTCGGGGGCCGGTGCTGCGGCTCCTCCTCAGATCTTAGCTCCTGTCATCGCCCCACACACACCTCCATCAGGCCTCCTGCTCGCCTGCCACTCACAGCCCAAACCGTTTATCCTCGGCCTCCTGCAGGTGTTGGCGAGCATCTGGCACAGCGCTCACGTACACAAGCTCCTGAAGTACGGAGCTGCTCGCTGTGGCCTTTGTGTGTGTCAATGTTTGTTTGGTGGTTATGGGACATTGTGTTTTGATGCAGGTTGTGGCCACTAACACTGGCTTTGTAAATATATTTGTGGATGTGTGGCATGCATCCGATTAGTAAAAGGTCTAAACACATGATTTAATAAAGTAAAAGTCACACTTATGGATCAATGCTCAGCAGTTCTGTGTTATCATATAGGAAGTGGGTCCTTTCTTAATAGACATATTTCATTCTACAGATTAGTAGATTCAACGTCACAATAAGTAAATTGAGGGCCTTAAAGTAGATACATAGTACCCTTTAACACATATTTTTAAATACAATTAAAATGTTCCACCAATCACTTATGTTGACTTTATAATATTAACCAATTAAAAAAAAGACAAAAAAAAACACATATCCCGTCTCAACAACTATGAAAATATTTTTGTTTAAAGGTCCCATGTCATGCTTTTCCGGTTATTGTTAGTGGAGCCTCGCAGCGGCGAAACTGTGGCGCGCTTACACTGTAGGTGCGCCGCGTTTGGGGGTGCGGGGGGGGGGGGGGTGCGGGTGCTAGTGGAGCCTCGCAGATGGGGGTGCCGCGTCCATTAGCGATGACTCGCTGTCTCGCAGACCCCACGCAGCAAGCAGGAAATGAACCCAGCTCACACTGTCCGCTCCTCGCAGCAGTGAGCCCCGCAACGTCCCGCCAACACGGCACCCAGACCCCACGCAGCATTCTCATCTGTTTGTCATTACTGGTGTCATTTCCTGGTTGCTAACTAACGCCATTGTAACATAAACACTGATGTTCCGCTGTAATGGTGGTGGACTCATCAGAACAGAGTGGGCGAGCTGACCAATCAGAGCACAGTGGGCTCACAGGGTGGGGGGGGGGCAGGAGCTCCAACAAGCCGTTTAGGACAGAGAGTGAATACACATGCTATACAGAGATGCTGTATGAGAAACCAATGTGAGTTTGGAAAATTGCACAATGTAAAGCTATTCTAGTAGACCTCAACAATGGAATTATGATCAGTGGAAATGGCCATGACATGGGACCTTTAATGTTTAAAAGAATTTCAACAAATTGTGGAAAATTATTAAAAGATACTACATGCAATATGGGCTTTTCTGGTGTGTAATTAAAATGTAATTGCTTTTATTACTATATCTTCTATATAGTAGTTACAGTTGGAGTTCATTCATGTAAATAAGTCAGAAGAAACTACCAGCATAAATCACATTTCTCTATTGCGTTTGAACTTGAAGTGTGGACATATTAAAGGATTTCATTCAAAACGCTACTAATTAATCCTGGAAGCACTCACAGTGGGAAATATACATTTCACAGCTGTATTTTACCGACACATCTATCTCACCTCGATGCCGTCTTTCCCATGCCTCTCCTCAGCCTCTTCCTCCGAGAGACCCACACAGCCGTACTCCAGGGGGGTGAACACTGTGGTGGCCACCTGACACACACACGAACACACACATCACAGATAACATCAAGATACAGCTGAAACAATACAGCAATTAATTTATTTCTTTTTTGACAGAAAATGTAATAATATGATAATAAAATGGTTTTTTTCAGTCACTTTTCACGTCATGAAGATATGAATACGTTTTCTTTGTATTCCAATATTATAGAAGCAGCTAAAACATTTCTTCTGGAAACAATATAGTTCAAACCTATTATCTTGACATCAAAACGATATCAATATCATTTGAGGGTCAGTCTTTAAAGAGGATGTCACGGAGGAAGGACATTTTGGAAAATGTTGACATGTTTATGTGATGACTCATCCTGAATAGAGGCTGGAGGTGTGGATACATCAGAGACTATTTAAAGCCGCAAATAGCTAGTAATTGGCATTCAATTAAGCACAAAATAATAGGCTCACAAAGCCACAAAGATACAAGCTTCGGAAAGATGGAAGGAAATTGTCAGTCTGAGTGTGTGTGTGTGTGTGTGTGTGTGTGTGTGTGTGTGTGTGTGTGTGTGTATGTGTGCTTCTTACATTGTCGTAGTTCATGAGTTCCGTGCCGTGACCGGCCAGTCTGCGGGCGAGAAGCTTTCCCGCTTTAACGGCTGTCGGGGTCAATTCAGGACGACCCTAAGAAAAGACACAAATCAATATACTTTAATTTATTTTGACCACAACCCATGAGATCTGGGTTTTGTTCTGTCAAATGTGTTTACCTTTCTTTAACTAACTGAAAACCATTTGGTCATCTGGTTTTATCTCAAACATTTCTGACAACACAACATAACAGTAGAACTCATTGCTAACACGGCAACGAGAGTCACCAACTGACATAAGTGCTTACATTTAAACCATCTAGTACTTAAAACAAATATCTGGCCTTTAATTTTCTGGATGTCAGCCAAAACACACACACCACACACACACACACACACACACACACACACACACACACACACACACACACACACACACACACACACACACACACACACACACAACACACACACACACACACACACACACCACACACACACACACACACACACACACACACACACACACCACACACACACACACACACACACACACACACACACACACCACACACACACACAACACACACACACACAACACACACACACACACACACACACACACACACACACACACACACACACACACACACACACACACACACACACACACACACACACTATTGAATGGTGCAGGAAACAGTGGGGCTGCAGGGTAATTCTACAGGCATGACTTAAAGCTGTTAAATTGCCACCCCACATCCTGTTGTCCAAAACATCCTGCGCTCCTCTGCCTGAGTGTGAGATCTGGTATTCCAGTAACTGTCATTCGTCATCGTAATGCATTTCTTGGCACTCTTCTTTGAGCGGACAAAAATAACAAACCGGCGCGGACAAAGTGAGATATCAAACCCGCTGCTTAAAAAAAAAAAAAAAAGGAATACAAAAAAAAGCTTCCCCACTGCTGTGAAAAAGTTGATAGACATTTTGGGGTGAAGGAGCACAACTGATCAAAGGGAGCTGTCAATCAAAAAGTGTGCGTGTCATGAGGCCTGGGAGGTAGGAAGGAAGCTCACAGCTGGTCGTGGTGAAAAAACAACATTTCATGCAGCAGGTATAACTAGTATTAACATGGCTGGTTCGGCTCTGAGCACACAGTGGTACTGCCAAGAAACACATGACAGCAGCCTAAAAAAGCTTCACTGAAAATTGTCTACTAACAAGTACTAGCTGGTGGTTAATGTGTCTTATGTGTGCGCAACATTAAAAGTGTCATGTAAAAAAATATCTCTATGTTATCACCTTGATCAACAGGGTTCCAGTTAAGTTTTCCTAAATGGAAATGAGACTTTTGAAATGGCATTTGAAATTAAATGTAGTACCAATTGTTACGTACAGTAATATGTTTTTGCTATACTGCATTCGAAAGGCATAACGTAAATCCAAATAAATAACAAATAGATGGATTGAATAATTTTGAGATTCCTAAAATCCTAATGTCTGAGCCTTTTTATGACTTTTGAAACATCGATTCCAGAAAATTTTAAACCAACTAAGACTTTATTTTCAGATTTACTAATTCAATACCGTTTAAGACTTTGTAAGGATTCCACAAGAACTCTCCAACATTCATGGTTTTCTTTAAATCTAAAGTGTATCCTGACATACTACACACCTTTATGTAACTAATTTTAAGAACCAGGTGTTTGTGATAGCAAACAGATTTGAAGAAAATGGGAAGCTTATTTTACAGGAAGCGTGAAAATAGGCTAAACTTGGTCATATTGGTGGTTATTTACTCTGTTTTTGAGTATGAGTTGTAGAAGAAAGTGTGTGTACCACCTATTACATCCTTGACTCAATGTTCAACAAAATCTACCAACTACAGTTTATTCGTTTGACTTCATAACATACACATTTCAGCATTCTCAGACATCATACACAATGTCTACTGAGCTGATGGGTGTTAGCTTGAATCCAAAATTCCTCACATAGGTAGACCAGGTGCTCAACAATGACAAGTATTTACAGAGAGTGTGAGGGATGTGGACATAACGTTTAAACTAATAATAACTAATAATTATGTGGAGTGTTTTCCAGGGCTGTTCCTGCTGTCAGTGTGGAGACTGTTGACATCACATACCTCCCCGATGTCACCGAAAGCGAAGATGTTTGGCACCGAGGTGGATTCATCAGCACCCACGATGATTTTCCCCGACTCCTTTTTGAGTTGGACGCCCAGCTTGTCCAGACCTAGAGCTTTGGTTTCAGGGGCTCTGCCTGAGGTCAAAGAAAGGAAACAACACAAGGAGAAGATTAGGTTATAAATTATGGAAATAGCGGTGTTGAAGAGGAGAGAGGCTATCGGCACAGTGTTCAGAAGACAGTCCCTCATTGCCAACAGAAAACTTTGTCCAAGAATTATGGAAGGCAAGGCAAGTTTATTTATATAGCACTTGTCCACCCCACGTGCTTTACAAACACTTGAAAGACCATTAAGAACAATGGCAGGTGTGGGAAATACCGTCCTTAAAAGAAACAGATAATAAAATATAATAAAACTACATCAAAATAAAGTAAAGAAGGAAAACGAAATAATAACGAAAGAAAAAAGAAAGAAATGTAAAAGAAAGTAAAAGAAAGAAAGAAAGGAAAATAAATAAAGAGTAAAATAAAATAAATAAAAGATAAAGTAAAGAAATTAAAAATAAAGTAAAATAAAGAAAATAAGTAAAAGAAATAAAATAAATAAACTGAATAATACAATAAATAAAAGAAAGAAATAAGCATGAAATAAAACTAAATAAAATGAAATAATAAAATAAATAAATACAATAAAATAAATAAATACATAAAATAAATAAAATAATAATAAGATAAATTAAAATAAATAAAATGAAATAAATAAATAAAATAAATAAAATAAATAAAATAAATAAATAATTTTAAAATAAAGTAAATACAATAAATAAATAAAATAAATAAAATAAATAAAATAAATAATAAATAAATAAAAATAAATAAATAATAAAATAAATAAAATAAATAAAATAAATAAAATAAATAAAATAAATAAAAATAAACAGTCATGGAAGTCATCAAAAGCCACCATTTTGTTAAACTCTGCAATGAATCTCCCAAACTCTCCATTCAGAAACCACTAAACAATAAATAATTGACTCTCGAATGGACTGTTCTTATATAATGAGAATTCTTTCCAACTTTTGCTGAAACAAAAAGATGAACTGCCATCAAGTCTGATCATCAATTCATTGATCGTGTTCTCCTTTTCACGACAAGAGTCTTTGGTCATGTTTAGCAAAAAAAATTCCCTAGCTTCATACTGTGAAAATGCTAACATTGGTTTAAAGTGCACCTATCATGCCTATTTGTAGGCAGTTAGTAGCATAGTCTCTAGATTATTAGAAATATATAAAAAATGTCAATTAAGTGTTTTGCTCAAAATACCAAACAGATCACCCATTCTAGCCACGCCTCATATCCCTCTATTTTACTTCCTGTTTCAAAAGTGCTGATTTGGGAATAAAGCTTTAAAAAAATAAAAAATGTGATACAAAAAAAAAAAAGGAGGGGTCTGAGCTCATGCGAGACCCGGCAGCTACTGTCTAAACTAAATACTGCCGTGATGAAACGCCATATCATGGATTATCAAGGATTGTTTCTGAAACAGTATGGAGCTCAAAGGCTTTCTCTCTTGCCGGTTATACCACAAGGTGAGTTCCTTTTTACTTCCTGCTTCTTCACACACATGCTCTCCAGTACAGGTTAGCTCTGAGTGTTAGCGATGCTAATGTAAACACCGACCATATTACGTCCAAAACAGTCGGGCATTGTTTCTGATAGCAACATTTCTGATGGTGCCGTGCCGTGGGTGTAAAGCCAGCCTACATTTCAGATATTACGTCATATATCGGACGCAAATCTGGATCAGCTCCGTTGTTCCCCTGTTTTTAGAGATTTGGGTACGGAGGAAAAGAGAGAGGGTTTTATTTTCTGATGCTGCATGAGTTCCCCGACGCACCGGGGACACATATTTATGTATAAAAGACATCAAAAAGTGCATTTTGCATGATAGGTCCCCTTTGGTTAAATAGTACATAACTGTGCTGAGGACGATTGGTCATAACGCAAACCATTGGACACACTTGACCTGATGATGGTGTTAGATGAAAAGTCACTTAATTCATACAAAATGTATCCTCTGGAGACCTTCAAACTCCCACACTCTCCCTTCAAGAACAACCAAACAATAAATAATTGACTCTCAATGGACTGTCTTGTATGGTGAGAATTTATTTCAACCTGACAATAAAACTAGGACAATAAACTTTTGCTGAAACCAAAAGATTAACTGCCATCAAGAAGTTGTTCAGTTTTTTAAAAGCAGATTATGAGTCCACAGTCATGATTAGAATGACAAAAAAAACGATGGTCACTAGCTGAGGTTATACTGTTGGGATGCTAACATTGGCTAGTCAGCAAAAAGACTGATGGAAATCTCAGTAGTTTCCCAGGTTCTTGGTCATCAACCAAAGTGTTGGACCTGATGGTGGTGCTAGATGAAAAGTCAGAGGATCACTCAATCCATTACAATGCGTCCTCTGGAGACCTTGAATATCTATAGCACATTTCACTGCAATATATCTAACAGTTGTCAAGATATTGAACTCAAAACCTAAACGCGCTGGTAAGGCTAGAGAAAAAGAAAGCAGACCACCAAAGTCATAGGGATCTATCAATGTCTGTAGGAAATCAATCCAGTACTTATTGAGATATTTCAGTCTGAACCAAAGTGGTGGACTGACATTCCTATTCCTAGTGTGGGTACAAATGCCATGTGCTGGCACCAGCCTTAAGAAATTGAGGATTTACAGCTTTTCTACATTTCATACGACTGTACATTTAATATCTCCTAGCTGAAATCAAATCCTAAAACACAAGTTCCTTTCATGGCCGTAGAATAGGGGTGTAACGGTATCCGTATCCATCCCGTACCGTTACGGTTCGGCACATGCAGTCACACGACGAATACGCCTTTTTTTTTTACAAGTGGGAAAAAAGTCTGTCATTCAGGGCAGTATTACACTATATATAATCCAGGGGGCGGTATTGCGCCTAAAAGCTGTTTGCCAGCCGCCCTTAAATAAAAAATGAAGAAGAAAACACAACAAAAAAAAACAAAATACAAGAAGAAGAAAAGTTAGTATGACGATTTCAGATAACACACAGGAGCTAGAACCCACCTGCTTCTTTTAAATCAGCTGTGTGGGAACATTTCGGGTTCCCTGTGGACTACAACAATGATGAAGTGTGCGAGTGGTGGATCGGACGAGGACGGTGTGTCGGCGTTGTTCGACAGCGGTGCGGTATGCTAATGGCACACGCCAAACATGTTAAATCATATCAGAAGGCATCACCCAGATTTGCCAATCACCGGAGCCCGGCGAAAGACAAGTTCAACAGCTGATCCCCTGCTGTTTTTAAGAAGCCAATCGACATGAAAGCCGTGAGACCAAAATAAATAACGGACGCTTTTGGCATATGTTTTTCAACGACTATGCGCTCTTGAAACACTTTCTTATTATTTATGATGTAATATTTTCAAGACATTCTTTTTAGTTTTACAGCTTGATGAAACGTTTTTGTTTGACATCAGCCATTATAGCTAATATGGCCATCTGAGTGGTACCGTTTGTGGTTTGTTTTTTACATTACATTGCATTTAGCTGACGCTTTTATCCAAAGCGACTTACAATAAGTACATTCGACCAGGAAGACACAACCTTGAAGAAAACAGAATCATATAAGTACATCAGGTTTCATAGAGCCAAACATTTCAAGTGCTACTCAACTGGCTTTAGGAAAGCCAGTCCTTTATTAGTATATAAGTGCTTTGTTAATTGTTCTATCGCTCGAAGTGGAGTCGAAAGAGATGAGTTTTCAGTCTGCGCCGGAATATGTGCAAGCTATCTGCGGTCCTGATGTCAATGGGGAGCTCATTCCACCATCTTGGAGCCAGGATAGCAAACCCACGTGTTTTTGCTGATGGGAACTTGGGTCCCCCTCGCAGCAGCGAGTCGTTTGGCTGATGCAGAGCGTAGTGCACGCGCTGGGGTGTACGGTTTAACCATGTCCTGGATGTACGAAGGGCCAGATCCATTCGCAGCATGGTAAGCAAGTACCAGTGTCTTGAAGTGGATTCTAGCAGTTACCGGAAGCCAGTGAAGGGAGCGGAGGAGCGGAGTGGTGTGGGAAAATTTAGGAAGGTTGAAGACCAGACGAGCCGCTGCATTCTGGATGAGCTGCAGAGGTCGGATGGCACATGCAGGTAGACCAGCCAGGAGGGAGTTGCAGTAGTCTAGGCGTGAGATGACGAGAGCCTGGACCAGAACCTGCGTCGCTTTCTGTGTCAGCTGGGGACGTATCTTCCTGATGTTGTAAAGCGTGTATCTGCAGCAACGGGTTGTAGCAGCGATGTTTGCAGTGAAGGACAGGTTGTTATCTAGGGTCACACCCAGATTCCTTGCAGTCTGAGTCGGGGAAACAACTGAGGTGCCGATGTTGATTGTTAGGTCAAGAGTGGGACAATCTTTTCCCGGAAGGAAGAGCAGCTCAGTCTAGTCAAGGTTGAGCTTGAGGTGATGAGCAGACATCCACTGAGAGATGTCAGCTAGACAAGCAGAGATGCGTGCGACGACCTGGGTCTCTGAGCGGGGAAAGGACAGAATTAATTGGGTGTCGTCAGCGTAGCAGTGGTAAGAAAAACCATGCGGGCTAATGACTGATCCGAGTGAGTTTGTGTACAGGGAGAAGAGGAGGGGACCAAGAACAGAGCCCTGAGGGACCCCAGTTTTTAACTGTTTAATACAGTTAATTATTCAAAATGTCAGAGTTCCTTATTTTTAAACTGAAACTTGCACTACTGTTCAAAAATAAATAACAACAAACGTGGAATTATGCATTTGGGACTTTTTTTTGCTTTTTCTTGTTGTACTGAACCCGTACCGAACCGTGACCCCCAAACCGAGGTACGAACCGAACCGTGACTTCTGTGAACCATTACATTACATTACATTGCATTTAGCTGACGCTTTTATCCAAAGCGACTTACAATAAGTGCGTTCGTCCAACAAAATACAACTTGAAGAAAACAGAATCATATAAGTACATCAGGTTTCATAGAGCAAAAACATTTCAAGTGCTACTCAACTGGCTTTAGAAAAGCCAGTCCTTTATTAGTATAAAAGTGCTTCGTTAAT